TTTTTTTTTGCGGACTGTACATAAAACATAAGAAATCATTAACGTATCAAATATTATAATTTTATTTATAGGTAATGATCGTTTTATAATTAATTATGATTTAATTTTTAATTCAAAGTTATGCTTGAGATTTCTGCTTATAAACTGTTATGTTTTATGCTTACTGTTTTAAATTATAATACCATTTACTGAACTCGTAACAGTTTAGTATGCAGTGTTGTATTCTACATTATAATACTAAACACTAGTTTTGGGTTACTTATTGTCTATTTTTTTTAGTCATTTCGATCAAATTTTTGACGTAAGTACGATTTAAGAAGCTGGTGGTACGAATCGAATAACTGGTTTCCTAAATCGTACTACTTGCAAACCTTGTGAAAATAATTAATTTTCAGTACTTACTGGGCATATATTATTCTCAAAAGAATAATATAAGAAGCTGAATAACTGTATTTCATCTGTACGTTGCTTAAGTATTAATAAAATACTTGAAATGTTTGTAATATTTGAAATGTAATGAAGATTTGTGACTGATAAAAAATGAAATGTATAAAGTAGTCCGATATAAGCAACTCTCCTCCAATTTTTAATTTCGATTGCTTCCAGTCATTTCAGTTGTGTATAAAAAGTTTGCTGAATTTTCAATTTAACCAAATAAATCAAAGACTTTTTATGCATATTTACACTTTTTCAGGGGAGGTTCCAAAGTTTTACCAAATAAATCAAAGAGTTTTTAGGCAAATTTCTTGTAAAGCCTTAAAATAACATTGAAAATTGCTGTTTCCAAATTAATTGCTTAAGTATTAAAAAAGTTTGATAAAATTATTACATTGATTAGAAAGTCTGCGGATTCTTTCATTGTTGCATCATAAAGTCAACTTTGTCAAAAGTTTAAAATGAATGTTAGATAATTTTACGTAAATGAAACTGCAAAGCTATTTCTTTATAGGATACCATGGTATCGATGGATATTTGACAGTTCAAAGTCTGCAATATGAGAGTTCTATAGCTATTGCTTTTTCAAAAGCAGCTGCAGAACTTGGTTACAAATATCACGATACTAATGGTGCAAACCAGACAGGTTAGTAAAATATTATTATTTTCTTCACATAGCTTATTTGTCAGAAGTGAAGCTCCTTTTTTTTCTTAGGTTTCTCCATTGTGCAAGGAACAACTAGAAATGGAAGACGATGCAGTACATCAAAAGCATTTTTGATTCCAGCTGAAGATAGACTAAATCTGGACATCGTCACGGATGCTTTAGTCACCAAAGTAGGTGTTTTATCCAATGTAATTAAAAATTTATTGTTTTGAAGGAAAATCTCCTAAAAATTTATATTGATTTGAAAAACTAATTTGGGAATTAATTATGTTATTAAGCGAAATGCAAATAGTACATAATTATATTTTTTGATATCGAAGTTGAATAAGCACTCAGAGACTAATTTATTTCCTGTAAAATGAAGTTGCCTAGAAAAGTTCGTGAATAATTCTATAAATATTAGTTTTCCTTATTTGAGTTTATTTTATAAAAAATTACTTAGCTATAATTTTATGTAGTTATTGAATTTAACGAATTTGAATCACCTTATCTCAGAAGTCCGGGTTTCCCATATGCTCTGTGTAAACAGCTTGCATAACTGAATAATTTTTTGGACATATTTGAAGTATTATTCTAAACACTGTTTCTGAGAATATTAGTTCCTTAAATGATTTTTTGCCAATCTAAAACAAAACGTCAAGATAGCAGTATGACACAAGTGTCAGAGACACATTTCGATATAATTTTTCTGCGAAATAATGTAGTACTTGCTAATGTACAAGATGTATTAATGTACTGTAATAACTGTATACGTTACTGTGAATGACCGAAATTGGTGGACGTTGACATCTACCGGTGAATGTTGATAATAACATAATCGCTTTGGTAAATGTCCGAAGTGTATACTAGGTCTTATTAAGTGTTACTGCCCGATATACCCTACACAGATGTATTTTTTTTAACGATTCAGTGCCACTGCCTGGTATACATTTGCCCGGTACTCCGAACACTGATGTTTCTCCTAATCTATCCTCAGCAAATAATGAAATATCGAATAAATATAATAATATCAACGACTAAATTAATATCACAAATCCGTTATAACAAATATTTCGGACATTCGCCAAAGCGACTACGTGATTGCTGACCGGTGAAAGTCAACACTCTCTCGATTTTGATCATTCATGCTAACAAATACATTTTGTTATTTCAGATTCTTATAAACAAAGATTTAGCAGCTTATGGTGTAAAAGTTGATATTGGTGGGCATGAATATGAAATATTTTCTGAAAAAGAAGTCATTGTAAGTAGTGGTACGTACAATTCTGCTCAACTTCTGATGTTGTCTGGGATAGGACCTAAGTATCACTTGGAAAGACTTGGGGTGAGTTTAGGAAGTTGTGAAATGAAGAGAATGTCGACTTTTTCCGGTGAATGCCAATAATCACATACATAGTCGTTTGGTGAATGTCCGAAATACTTATTATATCCGATTTGATATTAATTTATTCGTTAATATTATTATATTTATTCAATATTTTTATATCTGAGAGGAGATAAGTCGAAACATCAGTGCTCGGAGTACCAGTTAAATGCATACTAGGCAGTGGCACTTAACTAGACCTAGTATATGTTTCGAACATTTGCCAAAGTGACTATGTGATTGTCAACATTCACCAGTGGAAGTCAACAACCACCAATTTCGGTCATTCACAGTAACATATTCAATACATTTCTTCAAAATACATAAGAAAATACAATTATGTCTATTTTTTTTAATCAGAAATTTAAGGAATTTAAGTGAAACAATGGATATAGAAGACAATTTGTATTGGGATATTTTTCAGCGTAGTTACAATTTCGCTGTATTTATTTTTACTTCAGGTTTTGTTAACTAGGCAAACCATGAAAGTTCCATGCATGATTTTTAAATATTGATTTTTTGTGTGAAATACTTTTCTTTTTCCAATTTAATACTGCAAAAAATAATAAATGTCTGTAAAGGAAATTGTCAGTATTTTAGCTATTTTTTTCAGAAATAGCTACAACTTTTTTTTTTCAAGACATTCAGAGAGAATGATAACTGAATGAAAAAAATAACTTCGCAAAAGTTTAAAATATTCGACTCACTGAGAAGCTCGTAAAAACAGTGCCTTTAGTAGTAAAAGTTAATGAAAGCTTGTTTTAAGTAAAAGGTACCAATTGATTGCGTTCGCACCATATTTGACATAAAACAATATTTTAAAAGTAACTACACAGCAACTTTTTACACGAAATAAAAATTTAATAAGAAGACCACTTTAAGTACACCGTCATAAGTATACTAATGATTAGGTAAAAAGTGATTAATTTGAAATCAATTATTTTATGAAAATTAAAAAATGGAACAATATAAATTACATAAGAAACATCTTTTTTCTCCCTACATAGAATTTAAATTTAGTTATTTGCTTGCGTATGATCGCTGAAAATTCGAGAAGGCTTTCTTCGAATTGCAACGTTTTTAACTACAGTTCGCAGAAATTTAGTGTTCAGTTTATAAGTAATCGGCATTTTCTGACGATGCCTAGTTTTTTAAAAAAAATAGTGAAAATAAGCATTTTTTTTTACTTAAATTATTTTACAGATTAAATTTTGACTGTAATTTCAATTTTTAATTTGAGATTTGATTAGATTAAATTAATATAGTACTTTAGATCAAAAGCATGGTCAGATTAATTTCTTATTTAAAACTTACAGATACCAGTCATTGCAGACCTTCCAGTCGGGGAAAATTTACAGAACCATATTGGTGCAGGTGGAATTTCATTTGAAGCTTCAAATGCACTAGACGATTTTAAAGTAGTTTTTGGTGATCCTAAGAGAGTATCCAATGAATTCAACCATTTAGGGAAAGGTTAGTCAACAGAATGTGTGTAAGACATCCTTATATACATACATACATATATATATATA